ATAGTCCGCGTCGCAATAGCCAATAATTTTGAAATCTTTATTTCTTTGATAAAATAGTCCATAATCGATAGTTCTTTTTATATACCTTAGTATGCGTCGGACTAACTCGAGGTGTGGCTTCTTTGGTTTCTCCATGAATCGACTTGCAATCCCCACTGCATATAAAATGTCTGGTCGTGTTAAAGTTAGGTAGATTAGACTTCCGACCAGCTGCCTGTACATAGTTGCATCCTCCAAGTCTTTTCCATCTTGAGCACATCTCTTGGCGTTTGCTTCGATTGGAGTCGATAACGGCTTGCAGTCAATCATGCCAAATTTCTTCAATAGATCTTTGGCATATTTTGACTGACACAGTAAAAGACCGTCGACTTTTTCTTTTAGTTCGAGCCCCAAAAAATGCTTAAGTTCTCCAAGCTCTTTCATCTGGAATCCCATGAATAAATTCCTCCTGGTTTGTTGAATTTCTTCTTTCATCGTTTCCAGTGATGATGATATCATCTACATATACTAGCACTATTGCTAGTTTCATTTCTCGTTTCTTCACGAAGAGATTCGAGTCTGCTGGTGCAATAGAATATCCACACTGAATTAAGAATTCAGCGATCTTACCGTACCATGCTCGCGGCGCTTGCTTTAACCCGTATAGGGCCTTCTTTAGTTTGCACACGTAGCCTGGATTCTCTTTATCCTCGAACCCCGCAGGTTGGACCATGTATATTTATCTGTCGAGCTCTCCATGTAGAAATGCATTCTTAACGTCCATCTGCCATAATTTCCAGGACTTGCTTGCTGCCAGTGCAATCAGTACTCGAACTGTTGTGATTTTTGCAACTGGGCTAAATGTCTCGTCGTAATCTAGCCCGTACTGTTGTGAGAATCCACGTGCAACAAGCCGAGCTTTATATCTTTCAATTGATCCGTCAGGTCGCCTTTTTATTTTATAGACCCATTTACAAGATATGGGTTTAACTCCATCAGGTTTGGGTACTAAGTCCCATGTTTCATTTTGCCTTAGGGCCATAATCTCCTCATTCATTGCTTTTATCCATTCTTTATGTTTAATGGCATCCTCAAATATTTGTGGCTCTTTTATATTTGTATCTTCTTCTAAAGCTATATTGGCGTACCTGGATTTGGCCTCTTGTGTCTGGTATAATACAAGTCTCGCACCCGGACCGGCTGGAAATTGCTCTAAGCTTGCCTTCCTCGCCGGTTGAACGCGGAACCTGCACGAAACTCCCACACCGGAGGTGTTTTCCGGTGAAGAGCCTCCAACGCTCAAGTCAGATCTTGAGAGATTAATGTATATGAAGATGTATGAGTATATGAGATTGTGTGGAAAATGAGGATTCTCGCCCTTATTTATAAGGGCGAGTTACCTGAGCTGCACGCGCGAGTAAGGCGAGTTCGGCCAACTGTCCTCTGCTCGTCCGTACAATCGTGCGCCTCCACTATCTTCGATGTCAGAAACGCGTCACTTTTGTCAGGGAATATCAGAGTCCGTTACGGCCGTTGACCAATCACAGCCTGCCGCGTGTCTTTTCCTTTACGTGCTGGGGATTCTCGAGTGCTCTGGTATTCTATCAGTTTTGCGCGTCCATGCTTCCTCGATCGTCTTTCCTCGACCATATCTTCAGATGGCTCGTATCTGTCGACCACTTGCGATTCCCTTAACCGCCGCTATCTACTCGACGTTCTATGTGGTCGGTGTCCGGTTCTGCTCGACCACCGGTCCAGTATATAATATCCCATATCATGGTAGATCTCCGTAGTTGTTGTGGAATTGTCGGTACTTCGCTTGCTTCCTCTCCTAGTGGCTCAATCTCCTCAAGTTGAGTTGGCCTCAAAACTTCTGGAGTTGCGTCATGTACACCGGTCTGCCACGGACATTGAGTTGTCCTTGGTGGCTCCCCTTTCTCGTCTGATTCTTCCATTCTTTGAGTTGCTTCTGGAAGATTCACTCATTTCTGGAGTTTATCCTCGATTTCTTTAGAATCAGGTAGCTCCGACTTTTGCGGAGTCCACCAAGAAGATGCTTCATCAAAAATCACGTTGCGTGATGTGTAACACCGACCAGTTGATGGATCGCAACATCTCCACCCTTTTCTTTGGTTGTCATATCCCAAGAATATGCATCTGATTGCCTTCTTGTCAAATTTGCTCCGTAAGTGACTTGGAACGAACACGTAACAGACGCATACGAAGACTTTGAAGTGGCTAACATTTGGTTTGATTTTCCACAGCTTTTCGAATGGTGACATTAATCTCAGCTTTGCTTGTGGTAGCCGATTTATCACGTCGGCCGCCGTTTTCATACATTCTGCCCAGAACCTCGCCGGTATGTTCTTTGCATGTATCATGCTTCGACACGTTTCTGCCAAGTGTCAATTTTTCCTTTCTGCTATGCCATTTTGTTGAGGTGTGTTTGGACACGTCAGCTGATGGTGTATCTTATGCTCTTTCAGAAATTGGGAGAATTCTCTTGATGTGTATTCTCCCCCGTTATCCGTGCGAAGGCACCGGATCTTATCTCCGACTTCTCTTTCAACAGATTCTTTGAAATCTTTAAACTTTGTGAATGCTTCTGATTTTTCTTTAATAAAGAATACCCAAACGTACCTTGAGAAGTTGTCGATAAATGTCACCATATAGCGCATACCGCTGATCGATGGTTGTTTAACTGGCTCGAATATGTCAGAGTGAATTGTCTCTAAAGGCTTCTTTGCTCTGTAGCTTGAATTTTCAAATGGTAGTTGATGTGCTTTACCATATTGACAACCAGCACATATTGTGTTATCTCTTATCTCCAGTTGAGGAAGGCCCTTCAACATTGATTTCTTCATCATCACCTTAAGTTTATGATAGCTTACATGTCCCAGCCTCGCATGCCATAAATCAGCTGTTTCATTCTTTAGAGTCTTATTTACATAAGCAGACTCTGCTGACATTACATAGATGGACTCGAGCTTTCGACCCTCCATGATCGGTGTGCCGATAATTTTGGGATTTTCGTACACTTTGACGTTATTGGGTCCAAAAATAACATAATTCCCCAAAGTTGTCAGTTGTGATACTGATAGAAGATTTTTCTTCATACCTGGGACATGGTAGACGTCCTGCAATTGCACTTGACCAGGACTAAACCGTGGAGTGATGACCGTCTTGCCAATATGGGCTATTGGCAACCTTGAATTGTTAGCAGTGACAACCATCCGGCCTCCTTTGTATGCAGTTGTGTTCTGCAACTTTTCTTTATCTCTTGTCATATGATTGGAGCATCCCGAGTCCACAATCCAATCATTCTCATAATCTATTCGTCTAGGGACAACGGCAGCCAATGTCGTCTCTTCGTTTAAGCTTGATTGCTCTTCTTTACGGGTCTCCTCAGATACAGATACAGTTGGGACGATTTCCTTGACTATCGCCATGGATGCCTCTATATCCCACTCTTCTTCACTGTTGTTAGTCTCCTGGTTGTTGGACGCTGCTATATTCCCTTCAGCAGCCTTTTTTCTATGCCAACAGTCTATGGCATAGTGATTCGGCTTGCCACATACGTAGCACGAGCCCTTTTTATTTCCCTTGGACATCTGATATTTCTTATAACGATCTTGTTGGACCCCCTTTGTTTCAGAGCTTCTTTCTTCTTTTCTAATATATTCCTTTTTGTCTCTTTTATTTTGATGGTGTGGTCTCATATTCTTTTTATAACTAAATAAAACTTCATCTTCTTTCTTTAATGAGACTTCCGCCATTTGTCTGGTCAGCGCTTCTTGGTCGGCTAGTATATTTTCAAGATTAACCAAAGAAGACTGCTCAGACCAACCTTGTATAGCGGCTATAATCCCCCTAAATTTGGGTCTTAAGCCATGAATAATAATTCTTCTCATCTGAACTTCTGAAACATTATCAGTGGGGTCCGATTCAGAGATTTCGCAACAAAGAGTTCGTACCTTGTTAAAGTAGTCGCGTACCGTCATCTCCCCTTGTTTGCGTGACAGGAGCTCATTCTCTTGAAGTTGTAGCTTGAACTCATTCTTTTTGGAAAATAATACTCCCAGAGTATCCCACGCTTGTTTTGGAGTGCTTGCGTCCCGTATGTGCTCCAACAGCTCCTTGTCAATAGTCGTCTTGAGTGCGTACATGGCCTTTCCCGCCTTTATCTTCCATTTACGTAAGGCCCCAGCTTCTTCGGGTGGTGTGACCTCTTCTCCGCCAACAATTTCCCACAGGTCTTGGCCTTGAAGATACGACTCCAAACATGTTCTCCATGTGGTGTAATTTTGATTATTGAGTTTCTCCATTCGGCCTACTGATTGTAGATCCGCCATCGTGACTTGGACTACCTCCTCGTAACCAAGAAAGCCTCACGTGCTTCACAATTTCTGTACGATACCTTTGAACTCAATAATTTCCTTCTAGTTGACGGATAGTGATAAGCCCTGAATAAATTGACACGAGCTTGAACTTTCCAAACGTGGCTCTGATACCACGTGTTGGAAATAAATGGGTCAATAAATTCAAGACTGACACAACAAATTAATTTTATTAATACAAATATATCACTCGACTTACAATAGCACTCAAGAAAATTCACACATACAATACCTCACTCAATATTTTATTATTAATATCTCAACACTCAAGCACACACTTTTTATTTTATTGTACACTCACTCACTCTCTTTTTCTATCTAATCACTCACGCACACAAGAACTCTTTACTTTATATTGTTTTTATCACTCTTATCACACACACATGACACACACAATTCACGCATATGTATATATATATAGGTATAATAAGTCTCATGAAGCATCTGCTAATTAATTCAACTACCAACTATTACTATTTCAACTAATTTCTACTCAACCAACTACTGAACATATTAAATGAGAATTAGCTTCTAGGTGATTAAAAATGTGCATTAATTATTTAATACTGTGGTCGGTCTAGGCAGGTACAGGTTGAGTGACCGGGTTCATGGCAATGATAGCATATGTTCTGTCCAACTAGGTACTCGCCGGGATGGAAGCGTCGGCAAGTGGTGCAGGCTGGTGGTCTGGTTGGGTCCTGCGGTGATGGTTGCTCTGCCCGAGTATGGTTTCTCTGTCGGCAGTTCTTCCTCTCATCACGACATTTTTAATTTTGCCGACTCTGAGACGTTTTATATTTCAGTTGTTGGAGATCGTCTGAGTCTCATGTCCGTTGGGCAGCCGGACTAGCTTTTCCATCACTGTTGGATCACCTCCGTATCGCTGTGAGCTCACCGGTACTCTCCCGAACCATCCGAACCGCTCGCAGAGCCGGTCTGGGCCTGCTGGTCGCATCTTGGGCCGACTAGAGTGAGCTGGGCGTGTTCTGGGCCGAATTGGGCTGCCTGGGGTTCTATCCGTGCTGCTGGCCGCGACTGCCAGGGTTCGTGACAACTTCTGTAAAACATAACTCTTCTGTAAGATCTCTCTTACAACCTCAGGGTTCGTGACAACTACGGCCGCCCTCGGCCCGAACCACAGATAGCAGTTTTCACCATATTTTTGGACTGCAACGTGGATGAAGGGAATAACTCGAGGAATGATATTATTGGTAAAATTGATGGGCTTGGACTTGGCTTCTCTTGACAGAGTTCTGATTTATTTGAAGTCCCCAAACAAAAACCTGTAAGAATTTCCCCTGAAACCATGCTGCCTCAGGAATTTTTCTTGGTATCTGGGCGTAACCCACACCCACTTCAGCATCTTCCATGCGTATATTAATATTATCAAGGCACAAGAAAGCACTAAGGAGATGCCCATAACCTCCGTTAGAATTACAACTAGATGTTTCTTTCTTTCTTTTTTTTTTTTGATTGGTTTTATGTACGAACACTTATATTTCCTAATGAATTTTTTTTTTTTATTTTTTTTTGGTACAAGGACCTTCCGGTTTTCGGGATCCACAGGGGAACCGACTAATCCGGAATCGAGCCGGGTAGGACCACAAAGGCGGCAAAGCTCTCCCTCAAGAGTTTTAACTTAATATATTTCATAACACTAATTAAGTCGATCTAACCTTTACACGGTTCGATGCATCTTTTTAACAAAAAAATTGCTTACGTATGCTGACACATCTTACTTTTGTTTATGAAATGCTACCATCCCGTCGGGTCTTTTAACCGTTAGATTCACATGTAGTTAGATAAGATAGATGATCCAACGGTTAATACACCCGACGGGATGGTACAGTAACGGGACCGTAGCATTCTCTTTGTTTATATTGTTTTTTTAAAGTATGGCTTATTAGTCTGAAGATCTGTTGAAAAAGTATGGTTGTAACTGTTCTGCCTAAGAACAACATTGATCATGTGATAAATAGTTAAATACAAAAGAACTTGTGAGGTAGTCTAATGGTTGGGTTGATTGACTCAGTCGTACAATTTTCCACAGTATATATTTATATGATAAAATATCATATTTTGGTTTTATTTTTTTTCTTTAGTTTTAATTGGAAATCTTAAGCCCCCAAATCTAAAAACTCCGTGTCTGAACTCGAACTCGAAAGACTAGTCAGATCTGGCAAAACTTCCAGCCGGGAGACAGAGCGGACGTTGGGGAGCCAATCCGACTAGCCTCGCTGGAGGAGCCACCGTCAGCCTGTGGCCGAAGAAGAGAGCAAGCTGCAAGCAGTGGCTGACGGAGGAGGGGGGAGAGGGGGAGCCGAAAGTAATCTAACGTAGCATGTTAGATTACTTGCAAGTAAACATATAAACAACTAAAACACAAGTTGATAGTATGTTAACAGAACCATCCACAAACAAGATAGATCACAAACATAGAATAATACAAACATAGAATGGATTAGTTCCTTTTTTCAATAACAAATACAATAGGAACCAACCTAGTCCAAATAAAGTACACCCTCGGCACTGCCAAAAAGCCACCCAAGCTCCACCACCACCACCTCCAGTTCGCCTGACAGGTGGCATTTTCTGTTTCTTTGTCTCTCATCCCCAGTCGCACTTTTTCTCTCTCCTCTCGTGACCCTAAATTAGCCGATCAACGGCTTAAGACCACACCCCACTACCCTCTGCCATTAGCCGTCTCCATCTCGTCCCAGTCCTGTCGTTGCACGTCGTTTGTTTGTTGTAGTAATCGAGATTTTGCGCCAAAGTTGATCAAGGCTCCTACTTGTTCGTCCCATGCAGTTGCTACAGTTGTGGAGGTCGATTTGGGTGATCAGAGCTACCCAGTCTACATAGGGCCGGGCCTTCTCTATCAACCTGAGATTATTCAGAGGTAGTTTATACAGTTTGTGTGTGTGTGTATGAAAATGAAGTAGATCACAAATCTTGAAGTGATTCTCAATGAAAACTGATTCGTGAGTTTTAATAAAATTAATTGGCTTAAAAGCAGTGTTCATCATTATTATTTTTTTTAACTCGTAAAATTGTACTACTCGACGCAGGCATATTCACGGGAAGAAAGTTCTCGTGGTCACTAGCACCAGAATCGCGCCATTGTATCTGAACAAAACCATTAGGATACTAACATAAGCAAACCCCGGTATCCAAGTCGAAACTGTATTTTTGCCGGATGGGGAGAAATTCAAGAACATGGTGAGATTTCGTTCGTTGGGACAAACAAATTTTCTTCTAAAACAAAATTTTTTTCGATTCTAGCAAAGCACGGGGCCATATAAAATTACGCGTTAATTAATTAATTTTGTAGGAATTCGCAATGCAAGTGTTTGACAAAGCAATCGAGTCGCGGATGGACCGAAGGTGCACGTTCATTGCCCTTGGCGGTGGTCTCATTGGCGACATGTGTGGATACGCGGCTTCTTTTTACTTGCGCGGAGTAAATTACATTCAGATTCCCACAACTGTTATGTGACAGGTTATGGGAGTATGAATTTTTACAAATATTATGTTTCGAGTACAAAAGTAATATGTGTTAACTATTGAAAAGTCCTTTGCCTTTTGAATCTTGAAGGTAGATTTTGCCGAGTGGCATTCTGCTCGACTAGGCGAATGCGAGTGAGGAGAGCAAAGTGAGTTTCGACGCAAAAGGAGAGGAAAAATTCTTCGGTTGGGGGTAAAACCGCCATCAACCACCAGCTCGGAAAAAAATTTGATCGGGATAATTTACCTGCCTAAATGCATGCTTGTAGACACCGACACTTTAAACACATTGCCCGGGCGAGATTTGGCATCGGGCCTAGGAGAAGTCATCAAGTTAGGACTTGTAAGAGATGCTCGTTTTTTTGAGTGGCAAGAGAAGAAAATGGAAGTACTCATGGCAAGGTCAAATTTTCGACTTTGAGTAATAATATAATCATTGTGAGACAACCTAAAAGTGAGGCAGCCTAATGGTTAGATGGTTAAACGAACTTTTTTCTTATATATTTAGGGTTCCAAGTGCACTTGCATATGCAATCAAGCGCTCGTGCGAAATTGTGTCCTTCGACGAGAAGGAAAATGGAGTGAGGGCCATATTGAACTTCGGCCACACATTTGGTCATGTAAGCATAATTGTGTAGTTCACTCCCTGAGGTTTAGGGTAATTGCAAAATACCCCATACAGTTTTGGAAATCACAATTCTATGTTCTAAATTTCCATGGCCACTGACAGACAATTGAGGCTGGTGCTGGATATGGTCAGTGGATTCATGGGGAGGCTGTTGCAGCTGGCACGGTATGCTAAAAAAAAATCATAATAAAATCACTCATCTTTTTAATTCTACCAATAACCCCTTGATATTTGTTTAAATACTTTTTATTCCCCACCCTTCACGGAACATGATTTTTAGTTTTTTACCTTTTACCTCTATTTTTTTTTCAGGTAATGGTAGCTGACATGTCTTACAGGCTTGGGTGGATAGACGAAGCATTAGTAAAGCGGATGCATGTGATTCTGAAACAGGCAAACCTACCCACAATACCACCACACACTATGATCGTTGACATGTTTAAGTCTCTTATGGCGGTAATATATAAATTAGATACTTATAAACACTTTTAGATGAAAATGTCATTGAAATGTATATTTGATCCGGAGTGCGCTAACTAATGTACGAACTCGAACAAGAATTATAAAATGCGGAAGCAATTAGATCGAAGATTTAAAAACTCTTCAGGGAAGCATCTCACTTCCCCTCAGAGCTCTTTCATTGATAAATCGTATATTGACATAGTTTGGACTTACAAGACTCAAACTCCCTTCTAGTCTAGCCAACACTATTCACGATCCTATCAACTATTTCTCTGGTCACGTCCCGTGGACTTTTTAACCTACACTTACTCACTAAGTGTAAAAACAAAAGATTGTTTAAGTACAACAAAGAAACAAACTAAAACAGTTTCAATTCTTGAGTGCGTAAGAACTCTCAAACTAAACTGTGTACACAACTGAACAGAATAAAAATATCAAGCTCGAATATTGCTCTAAAGATTAAAATAATTTTCTCAGCAGCCGCAATAAGAGCATCTTCTAGGGTATTTATATGGACTCCTTAGGGTTGGAGTCCTCTCCAAGGCATATGACTCCTAGAGAGATTTTCTTCCATATTTGTAGCTCCACTTTGGTAAGTAAATCTTCTTTTCCCTATCTAGCTCTATGATCTCCTCTTCATGCAAACCTCTCTCATCTCCTTTTTCCATAAAATCTGAATCCCTACAATATAAAATAGCATAATAAGATCCACACACTCTTATATATGGAATATAAAATAAACTCAAGTAAGGAAATAAAATATTCAGAGATCTTCCCTTTTATATAGTTCCAGGTGCTTGTTTGAACATGAGAACTAATGTCAAACAAAAATATCTTTCAGTCATAATGTGCACTAAAAACCAGAAATATGAAGGTAAGGTTAATTTTGGAAATGTCGTTGGATAAAAAGGTGGCCGACAGCATACTAAGGCTCGTGCTTTTGAAAGGCTCGCTTGGCAATTGTGTTTTCACCGGCAATTACGACAGACGCGCCCTCGACGATACACTTCATGCATTTTGCAAGTCCTCTAATTAATTATTCATTTAATCCATTTGAAATCCTTTCTTTATGCATATATAGGAAACCTTTTCGTCGAGGTTTGTAGCTGTTAGATCAACTATTTCTGACGGTTACATAATGATCTAACAGTTAACGGGACTACCCGTGTATATATTGTTGCTTGATTATATGTTGTATATTGTATTTTGTGAAAAATCTTGATGGCACTTTGGTAAATAGAAAAACTTTTTGCTTGGCAAAATTGTTTAAAATTTTCCCATTTTGCTATCGAATAGTAAAAATATAAATAAAATGCAATCTCGTGGATTTTTATTTTTTATTTTTTTATTTTTTATAATTGTGTATAATTTGGAAAATAGTTACCTGAATTTCGCGTGTTTTGTTTACTTCAAGTATACAAGGTAATATTTGTATTCACCTCTATATATAGTTACGAAAATCGACAAATAGAATGTACTACTTGATTACATAATTCACAATCAAGTGACGTTAGAAAATCTATAATATCATCGAACACTTCGATCAACAAGTTTGTGGATGAGGGACGCTATCTACAACACCTATAAACATATAATGAATTGTTCGTGGGCAAGTTCGACTCAATTTCTTTAATAAACGAGCTCATCAGCTATTCGAAATCAACGCATTCGAATATAAACAGACGAACCAAGCTCATCTTCTCATGGTTTCAGTCAACAAATGTTTGTCATAACACCAAATTACAAAAGTATATTCAAGATTTGACCTTTCAAATGAGTTCGTCTCGACCGTTTCATTTAAAATTCCTTAAGAAAGTATATTACAAAATGCTAAGTGCTTGATTGGTTATTAACATTTTTTTTATTTTTATTTTTTTATCGATTTTACTGGTAAACTATAGTTAATTTTGAGAAGTTTGATTGAGTTAGGTTTGAGTGGGATCTTGAATTTGCATTAAAATAATATTTTAAAAAAAAATGAATTAAAATAGAATTAATATAAAGTAGAAGAGAGTGATTGGAAGTTATGCGTAGTTAAATTATGTGACTAGATGAATAGTGAATTAAAGTTAACGTGTTTTGTAGTGATGGTTGATTGTTATTATTATTTAATAAAGAAGGAAGCACTAAGTTATCCGTACATGAACATATTTTTTGACTTGTTTAATAGCCGAGTTCTCAATCTGCTAGTAGAAGCTCCATCTTTTACCATGTGATAGATTTATCTATATGTGGAAATTCTGAAGCTGGAAAATTTCACCCTATCGGTGATTGCTCACCAGTGCAGTTATCGAGGTTTTTTACACTAAAGATTAAGTGTTCTGCTTAAGCTGCTGTTAAAAAATCACTACTTCCATCATGCGCGCGCATACATTTAGATAAAAGTAAAACGGTCTTTTCTGGAACTGCAAGATGTGGGAACTCTACAATTCGTTTGCCAAAAAACATGTTGAGCCAGTGGCATCGAGTCTACACGAGAAGCTGATGAGTCTAGCTCCGCAGGATCAACTAAATCAAGACCGTCCATCACAGGGTGTAGGGGATACTAATATTTGTGTTGTTTCTTGACAATCGTGACATTTGTAAGATTAGAGAATCGGAGCAAGAGGTGCTGTCCCACGCTTATTAGAGAATCGGGGCAAGATGGTGCGGTATCACGCAGATTAAGCGCACCATAAGAGGGTGAGCCTAGGTGCACAATAGTGAGGTTTCATCCCAAAACCAATTGGTGATAGGAGGAGTAATCCACTTGGCTCATTTTCCCTATAGAATCAATGTGGGACAACTCACAAGTGATACTCCAACAACATTAAAACATATAAATTTATTTGACTTTGACGCTATTTTTCTTTTTTAAATAAATAGGTGGTATAAGAGGGATTCTTGTGCTAATGCCATTTTAAGTATGCAATTTTATTTATTATTTTTTATTTATTTAATTTTTGTTCTTTTTTTAAAAAAAATTGAGCAAATGAAACTTTAATCAGCAATAAATTTGAAGTCAAGTGGTATTATTGGCATTGTAATTTTTAAAATTTTTGGGTATATATTATATAGAGAACCATTAGATTTGCTGTCAATGTCCTTGGCTGCTAATTACATGAGATATTGCTGCTTTTTTTTCTTTTTTTTTTTTTCTTACACAGGAGGATTAATATTAATACTGGTTCCCAATTCTCCTTACAGTGACTCGAACTCAGGATATGGAATACGCCGAGCGAGGTATGCGCCACTGCGCTAAACCCTCTTCGTCTATTGCTGCTTTTTATGTTCAAATAAGTGTCTTCCCTACTATTATGCAAGATAAAATTCATCAATTTTTTTTTTTTCATTAATAACAAAGCTGCAAAATACCCTTCAATTTTGATCTGATTTCAACAAAAACCAATGAGAATGAGGGCAAAGTTCTATCGACTTGGGGTCTTAAGCCGTTGGATCAACACATGCTTGAGCCGTTAGATCAACATTTTGATATGACGATTCAAAAAATAACACTTTAATTCCCAAAAAAAAAAACCCGCAAAATATAACAAATTCGAGCAGAAATTTTGAACATACCTCAAAACATACAATCTTCCACAATGTCTTCAACACAAAGACTAAATAGTAAATAAAATCAATGAATGAACACAAAAGTCTATACACAACATGACATATTTTTATATCTTTTCTTCTTCATTTTCTGTTCCTTTTAGCTTCCAAATTGGTTGCCTCTCTTAGTGCTTGTTGAGCATCACTTTCCATCCCGAGCGCAAAGTAGCAAGCCGCTTGGAGATGAAAGGCGGTTGGCCAATCGGGTGAGACCACAATTGCTCGTGTGGCGTCCCCTAGGGCCTCGTTTGGCTTATCGCTCATCAAGTAGCAAAGGCACCGCCTAGCATGGGCCGTGGGCGAAACCATTGTCCCACCATCGATGAACTATATAAGAAACACAAACTCCAATTTAGTCGAACATTATGCAGTTGTGATTTCCATTATCAGAAAGGTGAGCATAGGCTTTTACCTGAGTATAGAAACTAATGGCATTCGTAAAGTCTTTAGCCCGAAAAGCAGAATCTCCGAGCTTCTTGGAATTCAAAGTCTCCTGCATTTGATTCGTCCACAGTTGAAAAGACAGCTGCAGAGAAGAAAGTGTTCAATTGTTAAGAGATAGCAAATTAGCAAATTTACTAATTTCATGCAACCAAATAATTATTCGAATATGAAAAAAATGAGGAAATACCTCGTTCGCGATTCCTTCATCATCTTTGTATCCGTTTTTGTCCAGTATCTCGTGTATGGCAGTAAGATCCATTTTCAAGCAAGCTTCCCCTAAGGGAGTCAAAGGTATCGGCTGTGTACTGTTTGCATTTCCTTGTTCGACGCCAAGCAAAACATACGAAGGAACCTGTTTCCATGATATATATTCAACCACATATTTATAAAAA